AGCTTAATGGACTACAGTGATATAAAAGACCAAACTCGCACCTTATTTGGAAAGTATGTATTGTACATGTACTGCATTAGATTAAACTGGGAAGTAGCACTTTCATATTGTTGTTCTATATTGTTAGTTTAACTAGTCGCTTTGGATAAAAGTGCCAGCTAAAAGACTAAATGTAAAATTGGGTTGACATTCGCACATTTAGGGACCGTCTCTAAAGTAACAAGTCCTATAGGCCTAAACGTTTCTAACTTCAATAGCAAACTTCAATCTATTTGAATAAATTGCGCATTATGCCTGAGCCTGACACCTACATGAACACTTTACAGTTGGTTTTATGACTGTAAGTCGTTCTTTTCAAATGGTATTTAAGTTAGAAACGTGTATACCAATTTCGTATGTAACTTTAGAGACGGTCCCTAAATGTGCGAATGTCCAATGTCAAACCAAATTTATGCCAGTATATCACTGGGAAACGCAGCATTAAACTTTGCGCGTTAAATTCATATTCTGAGTCCATCTGCTAGCCTGCGAGTTTGGTCTTTTATGTCCATTAAGCTACGTTAAGCGTTTTATATGTCCAGCAGGGGAATCCTGACATATTGAGGGAAACCAAACCCTAGTACTGCATGCAGCACATCACTGCAAAATAAGGTTAAGGCAACTAAACAACCAAGAGAAATATGTCAAATGTAACACTGGATCTGTACATCAGCATCGGGGGAATAACATTATCGTTCATGGTAGAGAAAGATGCATGTAGGCTACACAGGAAAAGTAATCGTGAACACACTGAATTTCACATAAAACAGACGTCATAATAATCACAAATACACTTACATTTTTGTAAATAAGTTTTTATGAATGAATGGCTTGCACTAACTGTTGCTCTGGTCTTCGTCAACAACACGCGCTTGCACCCCCTGCTGGTGTGGTCGACTAACAGCAGATGGAGATTATGCTCGGTAATCTACTCTTTTTCCTGCAGCTCCTGGATGTCAATGTTGAATTTACTGTCGAATTTGAACCACTGAATTTGTGGAAGCGAATTTGCAAAGCGAAATAAAATGGACCGAAAACCGCCTGTTGAATATTATAGGTTGTATTTTTAATCAGTTTGAATATTTGGGAAATGAAATATGAAAGGTGAATATGGATTATTGAAATTTTACTAATGAAAATGTGTTTGAAATGATTTGATTTGAAATATTCACAGCTTAAATATTCAACCATGCTAAATTTCAGCCTATAAAAATGCAAGCCCTAAAAATACAATGCATTAAAATACAAGCAGGGTTAATGCAATGCATATTTTTTTCAAGTAGTACAATTCAACAGGCTTTTTGTTTCAAAAACATTTGGGATTATTTTACTTCCATAGTTTTAACACTTTCTAATCTGTGTCAATTCCCATCCCTTTACATATGAATGCAAAACTCCATAGAGTCACTTTAGAGTCACTTTATTCTAATAATCCAAATGTAGTTGTATAAGTTACTATACTATTATACAAACCAAAGGACAGGCAATGGTTTTCGGGCTACAGATATAATATACAGATATACAGAAATAATGTTTGTCTCTTCTGTTTTTGTTGCAAAGATAGCTTATCTAATTATGATGATAATAGTCATTTAAATGAAAAAAATATCTAAATAATATCATGTTATATATATACACTCACCGGCCACTTTATTAGGTACACCTGTCCAACTGCTCGTTAACACTTAATTTCTAAGCAGCCAATCACATGGCGGCAACTCAGTGCATTTAGGCATGTAGACATGGTCAAGACAATCTCCTGCAGTTCAAACCGAGCATCAGTATGGGGAAGAAAGTTGATTTGAGTGACTTTGAACGTGGCATGATTGTTGGTGCCAGAAGGGCTGGTCTGAGTATTTCAGAAACTGCTAATCTACTGGGATTTTCACGCACAACCATCTCTAGGGTTTACAGAGAATGGTCCGAAAAAGAAAAAACATCCAGTGAGCGGCAGTTCTGTGGGCGGAAATGCCTTGTTGATGCCAGAGGTCAGAGGAGAATGGCCAGACTGGTTCGAGCTGATAGAAGGGCAACAGTGACTGAAATAACCACTCGTTACAACCGAGGTATGCAGCAAAGCATTTGTGAAGCCACAACACGCACAACCTTGAGGCGGATGGGCTACAACAGCAGAAGACTCCACCGGGTACCACTCATCTCCACTACAAATAGGAAAAAGAGGCTACAATTTGCAAGAGCTCACCAAAATTGAACAGTTGAAGACTGGAAAAATGTTGCCTGGTCTGATGAGTCTCGATTTCTGTTGAGACATTCAGATGTTAGAGTCAGAATTTGGCGTAAACAGAATGAGAACATGGAACCATCATGCCTTGTTACCACTGTGCAGGCTGGTGGTGGTGGTGTAATGGTGTGGGGGATGTTTTCCTGGCACACTTTAGGCCCCTTAGTGCCAATTGGGCATCGTTTAAATGCCACGGCCTACCTGAGCATTGTTTCTGACCATGTCCATCCCTTTATGGCCACCATGTACCCATCCTCTGATGGCTACTTCCACCATGTCACAAAGCTCTAATCATTTCAAATTGGTTTCTTGAACATGACAATGAGTTCACTGTACTAAAATGGCCTCCACATTCACCAGATCTCAACCCAATAGAGCATCTTTGGGATGTGGTGGAACGGGAGATTCGCATCATGGATGTGCAGCCGACAAATCTGCGGCAACTGTGTGATGCCATCATGTCAATATGGACCAAACTCCCTGAGGAATGCTTCCAGCACCTTGTTGAATCTTTGCCACGAAGAATTGAGGCAGTTCTGAAGGCAAAAGGGGGTCCAACCCGTTACTAGCATGGGGTACCTAATAAAGTGGCCGGTGAGTGTATATATATATATATATATATATATATATATATATATATATAAGCCTATGTGATCCAAAGTAACTAGTAACTAACTACTTGAGTAGTTTTTTCATTGGATACTTTTTTACTCTTACTCAAGTAACTTTTAAGATTATTACTTTTACTTTTACTTTGAGTAAATATTTCTATAAGTACTTGTACTTTTACTTGAGTACAGTTTTTGGATACTCTACCAACCACTGATTTCCGCACTCGTTTGACTTGAGCCTGCTGCTGAGGTGAACTCTCACGTTTGTTTGTGGTCTTAAAGAGACTGTTCTGCATTTTAAAAAACGCAATTCTTGTCAATAAAAAAAGAGACAGAAACAGCAGTTGTGAGAGGGGTGGCCAAAGGGGTGGCCGTGGCCACCCTTGGTCTAAGCTTGGCCACCCCTTTGGCCACCCCTGAACAAAACTGCTGTTTCTGTCTCTTTTTTTATTGCAAGAATTGACCCCCTAGCTCCGCCGTTGGCATTGGCCTCCATCAAGAGGGTATGGGACCTGCATGCATTTTCGGTCGACGAATCGTGCCTAGAATTTGGCCCGGCTTACTCTCACGTGATCCTGAGACCCCGGCCCGGATACGTGCCCAAGGTTCCCACCACTCCCTTCAGGACCAGGTGGTGAACCTGCAAGCGCTGCCCTCGGAGGAGGCAGATCCAGCCCTGGCTTTTCTCTGTCCCATTCGTGCTCTGCACCTATACGTGGACAGAACGCAAAGCCTCAGGACCTCAGACCAGCTCTTCATCTGTTACGGAGGCCAGCCGAAGGGAAAGGCTGTCTCCAAGCAGAGGATGGCCAACTAGATGCCATCGCCTTGGCTTACGAAGCCAAAAGGCAAACAAAAAATTTACTTGATTTTCAAAAGTCTATGAATTTGCATCAGCTGAATGTAGCATTTTTGACAAGCCAAACATGTCAGTCTCTGAGTAACATGTAATTTATTTAAGTCACAAAATTCTGTAAAATAACTATAATTAACTACACAAAAAAGCATTTTGAACATCTTCAGCAGGTTTTATAATTACCCAAAAATCAAACATAGTTCACCCCTCACACAGGTTATCACGTTCGTCAAAAACATAGGCTAGCTGTCGGTTGAAATATTAGAACTAAAAACATCAACACACACATTAGTATCAATCACTTTACTGAATACTTGTTACCTAAGAAATAAATAATTATTATCTTCAACATGCTCTATATCAGAGACGATAACGTGCATAAAACATAACACACGCAAGTATAAATTTGTTCTTCATTCGCTGAAATTGATTCGGAACGATAAGGGAACTGAGTGAAATACTTCACACTGCATGTTAAAGAGAATAAATGCCAATCTAATTGAAAAACTTTGCCAGGTTAGTGAACATCTTTCAATGTGTTGGTTTTGACAAAATTTGATTCTGACATTCCTGATTTGAATATTTTCAATAATTTTCAATACTTGACTGATCTCGTTTTCTGAATTTTGGCAATAGATTAATTGCTTAATGAGTGATCTTGAGATGAGTCCCTGTAGTCGTCCGATTTGACTCTCATATGCTGATGTAATAGGTATAAGCTTGACAGTGACCAAACTACATTTTGTTTAAAAGATTATCAAAGTTTGATAAAATGTTGTATAATAAAACATTTTTACATGATTTATTACATTTACATTTGCATTGTACATATGCTCTGGGGCTCCGGCTTCTTTGACATAGAAATCTTCTCAGGTTAATTTCTTCTTTTCAGTCCAGAGTCGAACGTCCACGTGTAAAGTAAAAAAAAAATAACACCGGAGAGCAGCTTTAAAGTAGAAAATAAAGTTGTAATTCTAATTGACACTGTTTTTCATATTTAATGCTGTAAAGCTGTGACTAGACTGGAAAGCAGAGTTGCAGAGCTTATGCAAACACATCCACATCGCTATGATCAGATCCTTTCTTAACTGTTGTTTTCTCATAGCTGTTATTTTTGTTGTGGACTACAGTTTGTATATTTCTAACAACTTTTTACCCCTAAACAAAGAACGAAAAAGAACTTTGCCGTGAGTATATTGGGGCCTTTACTTCCTTTTACGAAACCTGATTCACTTCCTTTTCTTCTCCACAGGGCTGTAACCGGGCACAGAGAACCAATTCCTGATGACAGCAAAGACAACATCACCATCTTTACCCGGATCTTGGACCGCTTGCTGGATGGTTATGACAACAGGTTGCGTCCTGGACTAGGCGGTACGATGAATACATGTACACATTTCCTTCCTCATTGTCTCTATTCTCCATATGCTGGCCTTACTGTTAGCTTGTAGACGGAGTATGATCTTTCTCAGTCTTGCTTTCATTTTGACACTTCTTGCAACAAGTCTCACACCACTCAGATCTACAACAGATGCTCTCCACAATGCTCTCCCGAGATCACTTACAAATCCTAAGCTTAAGAAGCCCCAGGATTATTGTGTGTTATACATCTCTGAAAAAAAAAAAAAAAAAAAAAACTGAAATAAAATAAAGAGGAAGCCCTGACCGCTGCTGTGATGGTGCACCTGTGGCATCAGGGGCTCGGGCTTATTGAAAAATAGAGCTAAATGTCGACTACGCCACCCCAGAATACTGGGGACTAACCGCCCCAAGGGCGCACAGATTCGTTATCAACGTGGGCAAAGAGACGTGGGTGAAACATGTGCAAAAATAAGTATTTTTATTTCTCATATGCATTTACATAATAAATAATTAAAAAGGTCACATAATCTCAGGCTCAACTTCACAGTAACGTGTACCATCTGTATCATACAACAACAACATACTCACAATAAACCCATTCGACCGGAGTGGTGGTACCTGGAGGTACAGGCTAGCCGCTAATTTAATATGAGCCCCTATCCCCATACACGCGCTCCCACACACACACATGAAGATTAGCTGCAAACAGACACACGGCATAGGTGTAACCACCCCACACACAATGGCAGCTAGCCACCCCCCTCCAGGAACCTCCAGCTCCTACAAAAAAAGAAAATCACACAAAAATGGATCAGCACATTTAAAACACAATATAAACTCACCATAACACACAGAAAACATACAAATCACCGTTCTCCTAAGAGAAACCATATTAAAAACACACAGTTCACTCAATCAACAGGAATCAATACAATGCACAGAATGCACGGCAAACTATAACGAATAACAAGCAATCATAAGCATCAACTCCATTCACAACTATAGTATCACGGTGGAAACGGTGGCCGCGGGTAAAGGCAGACCAACCAGCACACAGTATCTTTACGGCGTGCATAGTCATCCGGAGATTAATAGTAAAAGCAAGACATACGGAGATTAATCGTAAAAGCAAGACATACATCAAAGTTAGACAGGTGGCCGCGGGTAAAAGCAGACCGACCAGCACACCGGATCATCACGGCGTGCGCAGTTACCAAGAGGTACCCCATAGAAGCAAAACAGCAACGTAGTCCCACTCAACCGTTCCCCAAGTTAGATTTGTCGCTCGATCCCATTAGATACAACGGGGGAGCCCTCAGATATGCCGATAACCCTGCCGAGCATAACAATATGTTAATGAAAGTAATATAACTAAGGTCGACAGATATAATTATACATACCAGCAGGTGTAATCGGCCCATTCATGGCCACGCACCATGCGGGGATACAGACGCTCAGTCGGAAACATGCCGCTGTAATTGACAGACTATGAATATCTCGCTAAGAGCAGCAAGGCATAACACACGTAAACAAACTAATGTTACCTGAGATGAATCGGCTGCACGTGCCCAGCAGACAGGGAGACCAGACTAACCCTTAGGCGGCCACGGATGAAAGTGACATCCGATGCCGCCAAGGCACACATCCGGTCGCCCAAATCCCCTTCCTTTATACGCCATCCCACGGCGCCCAATCAACTACTTGCATGTGCACGCTCTCAGCAGGTGGAGTTAGTCCACCCTGCTACACACCCACAGATTGCTCACTTAATCATAATGAAGAAGATGATCGGATCCCCTGATCATTTTGGATTCAGTGCATTACTGTTAAATGCTGGTCTCTGAGCATCAATAAACTATAGTCTATTTCCTAATGACATTTGCTGAAATGTCCCACCGAAGTCCATTATTTCATCTCCCTCTGTGTACATTTTTCCTTCTCCACAGAGGTCTCACAGAGGGAATCCCTAGTGACCTCTGAAAGTACAGTGCCTAAATTGTGAGCCCAGTGGTGGGCAGTCAAAAATCAAGATGTATGTTTTTGATAAATGGGCTAAGTCACATTGCCACACCGAGAGCTGTGGGCTGATGCTGTGGAGCTGGATGGCTTCCATTACTCAACTGCCTGAGTCCTGCTGTCTCCACCATCCTGGCCACCTTCCAGTCACCTCTCTTAAGCTCGATCAAATCTTTTCATTTCCACTCTGCTTTACATAGATGCTGATGTGTAATACAGGACTCATCACATCAAATTTGCTAACTGGAACATGATGACTTACTTCAGATGACTTTAAAGGCCTACAATGCATTATATACAGGACACATTTTTAAGTGCCTATGTTATGCTCATTTACAAGTCTGCCAGAATACATTTACATTGTTTATGTAAAAAATCAACGTCTCCTCAACATTACGAAATTGTTTTTTGACAGCAGGCCAAAGCAGCCAGGTGGGCATTATGCAAATGTATAACATGGTGACATAGCTAAGTCACAGAAATAATGGCAGAACTACAAACGACTGGTTCAGGCAAGAGTTTTCTTTTGGATAGATTCAATCCTTTTGGTGATGACTTTGTGCTTTGTAATAGTTTGCAGATCATTTACATGCACAAATTGCTACATTACACACGAAGGGAAAGGGAAAGCTTTCGTCTACCCCTTTTCTCCATTAACAACTTTATAGTTAATTAAATTAAGTATTATCCTTCCCACTAGTCAGTGGCAGACCCAGTCATAGGTGACATAAGGAACCTGCGTGTTCCTCCCCACGCACAGCTGTCACAGATGAACTCTCAATTTCTCAATCAGAAAATCTCCATCCAAGTGTATTCACTAAATAAATAACCAAATACACCACCATTAACAATATACATCTACTTGCAAATCAAGTTTCAAGTTTGTATTTATAGCACATTTAAAAACAGCAAACAGGGCTGACCAAAGTGCTGAACAATAGACAAGATAAATAACAAGGACAAACCACACATTCATGACAAAATATCACAATGAATTAAAAGCTAAAGGAAAAAAAAGGGTTTTAAGAGACAGTTTAAAAACAGTTAGAGATTGAGCCGCTCTGATATAAACCGTAAGGCTGTTCCACAGCCTAGGGCCAGCAATCGCAAATGCTCTGTCTCCACTATTCTTTAACCGTGATCTGGGGACAGACAAAAGTCTCTGATCACCAGACCTCAGGTTTCATGTGGGATTGTGTGGACAGAGTAGCTGTTATGATGCGGCTGACCAGATTCTGGACAGCCAACATACAACACTACAACATTAAACAAGAACTCACAAAGACAGGGCTGAATCACAGGGCTTAAATACAAGGGACAAACAAGCAGGGCGGCCACGGCGGAGCAGACCCCTCGGGCGGTCACGGCGGTGAAGACCCCTCGGGCGGCCACGGCAGTGAAGACCCCTCGGGCGGCCACGGCGGTGAGGACCCTTCGGGCGGCCACGGCGGAGAAGACCCTTCGGGCGGCCACGGCGGAGAAGACCCTTCGGGCGGCCACGGCGGTGAAAACCCCTCGGGCGGCCACGGAGGTGAGGACCCTTCGGGCGGCCACGGCGGAGAAGACCCTTCGGGCGGCCATGGCGGAGAAGACCCTTCGGGTGGCCATGGCGGAGAGGACCCTTCGGCCGGCCATGGCGGTGCGGCCTTCATAGTCCCATCCAGGGTCCTACTGCCCCCCCCAAAAAAATTTCTTAGGGGCAGCCATGGGGTCATCAGCAGGAACAGACACCGGCGCAGGATCAGCGGGCTCTGGCCCAGGATCAGCGGGCTCTGGCGCAGGATCAGCGGGCTCTGGCGCAGGATCAGCGGGCTCTGGCGCAGGATCAGCGGGCTCTGGCGCAGGATCAGCGGGCTCTGGCACAGGATCGGACGGGACCAGCACATCATGGGACTCGGAATTGGGCTCATGGGCCATCATTGATGTGTGTGTAGCCCACACACACAGAATCGCCGCAGACATCACAATCAGCGCTGTATCTTGAGTGGACTCACGTGCGGTGTGCTCAGGCTCTGGCGGGCAGGCGACGGGCTCGGGCTCTGGCGGGCAGGCGACGGGCTGGACGTGGCTGACGTGAAGCTCTGGCTGGACGTGGCTGACGTGAAGCTCTGGCTGGACGTGGCTGACGTGAAGCTCTGGCTGGACGGTCTCTGGCTGGAGGGGCACGGGAGCGATGGTTCTCTTGGTAGCACGAACTGACATCAGCGGGGGGTCAGCCACGCTGGAAACAAGTCCTGGATGGCCATAGACCGATCCGATGGCTGGGTTGATGGTTGGGGCGACGTGGGGAAACTCAGGTTCTGCAAGTGCCGAACCGCCCAAGGAAAGGGCCAGATCAACAAACCCTTTCAGGGTCCAGCCAGTATGATCCTCCGGCATCACTTGAGTGATGTGCCAATCCAGCCCGCTACAAAACAGGTCCACGAGCTGGGCGTCATTTAGCGCTCCCAGATGACAACACGCCAAAAAGTCCCTCACATACCTCTCCAAGGGCTGGCCATCTTGAGACAGAGATGATAGGAATTTCCCTAAGGCCTGGTTGCTAACAACTGCTGGATCCATTGGCGGTGAGTTCTTCTGTTATGATGCGGCTGAAGCAGAGGAAAAAAGCAGGATCCAAGCAGTGGCGTAAGCAGAAATTGTATTTTGGGTGGGCCAGTGAAAATGTGACTGGGCCTATAGTTTTTCCTAGAAAAAAATGACTTTAATAATAATTATTGAAAAATGACTTCTATAATAATTAACATTTAATAGACAAACTGAAAAAAGTTACACCTTTATAATCATCATGTTCAACCAACAGAGCTCAAAGGCTGGACAAACCAGTATAGACAATAACCTGTCTATTTTATTCTATTCAGCAGTGCAAATACAGTTCACCCGAAAATAAAGTAAGCTAAAATAATAATATCACAGTTAGATCGGCGGATAAACCCGCTTCAGGCTGACGGGGAGAGAGGGAGCAAGAAGCGGCCGGCGCCAGCACCTGACTAACC